CGAAGGATTTTGCATTGATTTGCTTAACGAATTGAAGAAAAAACTGCAGTTTGAATATGAAATCAGAAAGAGAGAGTCCCTTGGACAGAAACGAGTGGAYGGAACATGGGACGGGATAATTGGAGACTTAACAAGACAGGTATAGTGTGTTAAAATATGATTATGAGGGCCGCGTGGCACTACGAGATACATGATATAACTAGAAAAGGAAAGTTATAGTGCTGAGAAGGGGGTTATTCAAGTAGAAAGACCCTTGGAAATAAATTCGGAAAAATAAATTTCCGACCTCGCTGGGATCAATCAGTTCGAACCCACGTATTTATTTCCAAGTGTCTTTCTCCCAGAATAACCTTCTCATGGTGTGGAACCTCATGTAAATCTCATCCAAAGCATTTTTGCTGATGGATAACGTTAAGCTAGCAAAAAATGTTCGTCCTACGAAGTTTTGATAAGACTTTCACCAGTCTTGATACTCTAATCAATATACCATGATGCACTTCGCCAAAACAAAATGGCGTCATTACAGGAAAATCTAAACCGTTAAATATCAATGACTATTTCTTCTTGGTTCCTTTAGAGAGCTGATCTCGCAGTATCCACTTTCACCATCAGCCCCGAGCGTGAAAAAGCCGTGGACTTTACACAGCCTTACTTCAGCCTCGGCTACAAGATCATCATGAAAAAGTCGTTCAACGAAAAGAGTACCAATCTGTGGGGGTTTCTTGATCCGTTTGAAGAAACTCTTTGGTTGGCTATCGTAGTGTCTTCTGTTGTCATTGGAACGGTAACATAAGCAAATCTTTTATGTCGTGAAACCATCGGCTTCAGTAGAAAGTCAAAAGGATATTTCAGTCTTCAATTGCGAAGAATTTMGCAGATTTAACTTTAACTTTTAAAGATTATCGCTGGAAATATTCAAATCCTTTTAAGAACCCGGCCACGTATTGATCATTTTCAACCATTCCCATGAGATTCAAAAGATAAAAGACCGGCGGCCATGTTGGAGGAATGAACAATAGATACTAATGAGAAATCCTTTGTTAAAGTTCCTCCAAGATGGCCGCTGTGACGTAACCTGAAAACGAAGAATATCTTGCCTAAGTTTGACCCAAACCCTAAGAGAAGTTGGTCTGTTTAGTAACGCTCTCAAGCGATCTAATTTACGATGAATTYATCATTTTTTCCGCTTCTATACATTTCACCTTAAAAAGTTTAAATGTTAGGTGAAAAATCCAAGATGGCCGCCCTTATGGTCGCATCTGTATTTCATTAGCAAATATTATCATCCTGTCAATCAACAATCATTGTCATTTTAGGTTGTATGGATATTTGATCGCCTCAGTCCCTATGGCTATTATGGCCGCGTTATCCAGTCCCCTAAGCCAAAAGAAGAATACTATTTAGCGAGRAATACTTTGTGTTTCTTCAACTCTCTTTGGTCCGCCACGGCATCGTATTTAGAGCAAGGACCAGACGGCACACATCCCATTTCTCATTCAGGAAGGGCTACTACACTGGCATGGTGAGYAAACAATATATTGTTATTTAGAAAAGAATTCATAAGAGTAATGTTTGAGAGTTGTGAGCTAGAGTATTGAGAGTTGTTGACACAAAGTGTCGAGGCGAGTGAACTTGACTTGAATTTGATCCACATAAACAGCTAAAAACCGAATTCCCAGTTATTATGTGCACATACCAGTGCTTCTGACCGTACGTGTTGCGATATATTTAGAACTAAGGTCYCTGTAAACCTTTCCTAAATTTCTATATAAATGTGGAGAAGACATGTGGACTCTCAAATGAATAGCTGTTTACACCTTGATTGCTAGTGAAGCTCCTATTAAGGCCCGTTTACACTTGCGATTTTTGCAGTGCGATAATCGCCACTTTGCTATCACGAATCGTACGTGTAAACAGCACTGCGGTTCTTGAGGCGATAGAAAATCGCCGCGAAGTTGCAGCCTATTTTCAAGCATGTTCGAGACTCAGGCGATGCATGGTCGCGCGACGAGCGATCAAAAATCTACAAAAATCTACAAAAATCGCAAGTGTAAACGGGCCTTTACATGTGAGTCGTCAGTGCATCTCAACTAGTTTTTTAATGATTCTACTAACTATATATACTAGGTGGTTTGCCATTTCCATATTTGGAGCTACATACACAGCCAACCTGGCAGCCTTTCTAACAGTCAACAAATACGAACATCCAATCAAAAGTATCGACGACCTTGCGGACCAGAGTAAGATAAGCTATGGAACYGCGCCTGGACAACTRGCAGACATGCTAAGGACTGCGTCACTTCCGGTCTACGAAAAGTTATGGCGTTAYATTGACAAYCATGGAACGCTAGAAAGTAATGCGAGCTACGCAATCGAGAAAGTACGAAATACGGAAAATTATGCGTTCATTTGGGATTCTGCTGTGCTGGATTACGCAGTACAAAGCGAACCATGCAACACGTTGAACATCATAGGAAGGTAAGGCACCACCCGTGGGGGGAGGGGGARGGGACTTGGGTGGACTTAAATGGGRATTRTAAATATWGCATTGAGAAMAAGGTRAATGATTTACTGGGCCCTAACCAGTCATGAAACAATAAAATTGTAACAGTTCGTGTAAGACGTCATAACATTATTAGTTTAGTTTAGTAATAGTTTAGTTATCAAATTATAGTAACTATACAAATTATTAATATTGTTATCAACATTAAATATATGTATTACGAATAACCTGATAATTATGAATAATTAGTGAAAGATTAATCTATAATAAATCTTTATCATTATTAATAGACCCTTATAATTATACGTTATTTATAATCAAATTATCAATTATCTTCTTCAAGTAACCATTACTGATATATTCATTTTCAGGCCATTTGGAAGTATAAACTACGGGTTTGCTCTCCCTCTAAAATCACCATACACGCACAATTTCAGCGTAGCTATGCTGGAACTACAACAAGATGGCTTCCTCGAGAGAATGACAGAGAAGTGGTTTCGTTCTCGTAGCGTTTGTGGCGCGGAGACGGAAGCACATGACGCAGCCGCTAGCGAGGGTGGAGCACAGCTTGGCTTGTTTGATCTCGCGGGTGTATTTGTAACATTACTAGGGGGGATCATTTGTGGTATTGGCGTGCTATTGGTTGAGTGGATTGTTGCGTCATACCGTGATACARTATCTAGAGATAGGAGGGTACGTATTTACGTAAGTTAGAGAGGGACTGGGAGCTAACATGAGGATTATTCCCAGTCCTCGCTCTCATTGAGTGCAAACAAAACACTAATAACGACTAATAACAGGGTACTATGGTCAAATCATTGTAATAGATGGGAATGGTTTAGAAACCTTTTGTTGTACTTCTTTTGTACGTCTTTTGTATGTATTTTGAGGTTGAATCAGTCAAGACCATGCACAACGTTTTTCTTGTGGACGATGGAAATTGCAAAACGACCAAACATAAACACTCTATATGAGATTATGAAATGAAAGATTCYAATATTGGTTATGTTTTGTGCATTTTGTTTATTAATTTTACTAAAGGGTTTTGAATCCACTCAGGAAGAGTTACAGTTTCTTCAGAAGTGGTTCAAAATTACTCTTACTACAAAAGGAGTCAAAATTATTCCCCCAAGATGCGGTTAAAATTGAGTCTGGTATCATTTTTGACTCCTCTGTGGAAGGTTTATCAACTTTTATTCAAAATAATAGAGAGGGCATATTTATTGGTAGACTTAATTTATTTTTTTCTCATTTCCAGGCTCCAAGATCATTCTGTACGGCGTTTTGTCAAAGAGTCAAACGTTCCTGGCTTGGCATCTTAAGTTTGTGCATGTCAAGGGAACTGGGTCGAGAACACGAGCCCAAGCCACAAATTAGACTTTTAGTGGAGAATCTAC